CAAACATAATACTATATGGCATTCCCTATTTTTATATAATACAATATACAATACAATAATAGTTTAATGTAAATTGTATATGCCACCTAGCAAGTTAAAAGCCAGAAATGAGAAGAAAAGTTACTGCAACAGATTGTATCTGGGTATTTTAGAGTAGCCAAGTAAGCTTTTATTGAGAAGAAGTAAGAGTATAGATAATAGCTAAAAACCTTTGTATATTTAATATATATTCTTTATATAATAAAAGCAGAATTGTCAAAGTTAAAAAAAAATAATAATAATAATTTTCAAAAATAGTATAAAGAGGATGTGTCTATATAAGAGGTAACTATAGAGAAAGATGACTATATATACTAATATATTTAAATTCAAATTTAATTTGTTAATACTACAGTGTGTAATACTTAAAGACTATATTTATCTCAATTTAAAATTTTAAAAATTAAAATTTTTAATTTATTTTAAAACATTGATTTTTGATGTTTTTAAAGTTGCTTGATTTTTATTGGCCAAATTTTTTAAATTTTGATTGGTCAATTTTTTTTTAAAAATTTATTATATAAATTTAAACCTATTTGATTGGATATTTGTTTTATTGTGTCCTATTTTTAACTTTTTTCATATATGATCATATAAAAATGCAACATTTTAGAATCTATATATTTTAAAAAAGTTATTATAGCATTTTAAAAATAAAGCCGCTAAATTGTAGTAAATTGATCTAGCTACAAAATAACGGTCTCCTTTTTAAAATATCTTTTTAGATTAAAAGTTATTAGCTTTTAAAGTTTGTGTAGTCTTTAAATGTCGCGCACTGTATATTTTAGAACATATACTGTATACTAAAAACAAATAATAATAAATATATTTTTTAAAAAAATTAATAACTACAGTAATATTAAAATTTATTTTTTATACAAATAAAATATAAATTTGTATAGTATATTTTAAATAATTATGATAATATAAATAAAATAATTTTTAGTAATATTAATTTTATTCTTGCTTACTAAAATCGGTTTTAAAACCATTAATAAGTAATAAACAGAATTTAATACTAGTTATATAATTAAAATTATATAAAAATAAAACACGTATATATTTTAAACTATATACACAAAATCAATAATTCATAATTTTATAACTTTAGGACAAACACAAATTTTTCAAGATTTTTTAAATTAATTCTTATGGCCTAATTTATAATATATATATTATTTTTACCATATATGGTACTTTTACTAAGTATACGTACGTACGTATGTATTGAGACTATGACAAAAATATTAGAATCACGATCTCATGTTAAAGTAACATTTTTTTTTACTAATAGAATAACATTGAGATGAATGACGTGACAACTTATGCTGCACCGTAACAAAGGAATATTTATCAATTTGCTCAAATTTTGCTGGCAATAACTTAGAATGGCTTTGTAATAAATTGAGTCGTTTGAACCGATTTAAATCTAACCAAATATAAAATTATTAGCAACATTTTTTTTTTTTTTTTAACGCTAAAAAAAGCTAATACGTCAGGGGAAAAAGAAAAAACAGTTTCGTTTATTAAACCTATAACAATAATAATAACGATAAGATTTTCGTGACCGCAAAAAAAAGCTTAATTTGTGTTGGTGATTTTTAAAAATTCGGTTAAAAATAATAATACTAATAATAATAGTAATAGTAATAATAATAATTAAAAAAAAGAAAACATAACGAATGATAACAAGCAGGAAAATATATGATCGATACATTTAAAACGTATTAAACAAGCATTAATAAAAAAAGCGGAAAAAGCGGAATAAAACAATGTGATAAAAGTGAAGAGAAGGGGAGAAGTAAGCATACAAAAGAATTAAGAGCATGGAGAAATGAAACATGCACATATAACATAGATTAAGATAGCCATTTGACCTTGTTCATATGGTGATCTTTTTCTGCGAGGAAGTACAGCAAAAATTACAAGGTAAAAATATATAAACATGTGTAACATGTGTATTAATCATAAAAATTTTTGGTATTGGCGAGAAATAGATCCACCCTAAAAAACGAAACGAAAAAAGAATGAAAAAATTCCACACACGAATAAAATCAAGAAATATTCATCTCCACCCAAGGAATGAATATCACGATTTTATTAAAACTATTAATCGAAAAGAAAAAATATTAAATTAACATGATTATTTTGTCAAAGCTAACCACCAAAATTGGGGACTAAATTAATTGTTTCAAATATAAAAAGAAAGGGATAAACGAAATCGAATGTAAATAAATTTGAAGATCTAACAGTTCTTAAGTTTTCAGAATAGTTTATTGTATGTTTGAAAATTTTGAGTCAGAGAGAATCTTTGAAGGTGTATAGGGAATAGCAATGCCAATTCGATCATCTCCTGAATTCGTCAGCTCACTAGTCCGTTGCGAAGAATCAGTGAGATTATTGGATTGTTGGGATTGTTGACCTAGATTCATGCTTATTTCAGATATTTTTGAATCACCCATAGAAGACGTAAGCTTTACAGCTCTTAATGCTATTTCACTTAATTGGTTCTCATGATTAGATCTAGAGGAAGAATTAGGCAGAAAACTAAAAGAACCAGATTCGTCAGATTTTGAGTCTTTAACAATTTCCTCTTCACGATAACTTCGACGCACAGGGGGAACTGGTGGTCGTGCAAAAGTTGTATCTCTATAACCTCGCTCCTTATGATTCTCTCTATCACTATAAATGCATTAACATTATTTAAATATTCTTAAATATATAAAATAACTAATATACTAATATATTGTTTATACGTACTTTATCTCATATGCCAATATAGTGACAATAATAACGTTCATCATAGGAACTAAAAAAATTGCAACACTTTAATTTTTTTTTTTTTTTTAATAATAACTTTGAAATTTTGACAAAGTCTCATACCAATCAAAACCCAAAGAGCAGCAAAAATGAGAGATAGCACTGGCGAATATGCCAGGATAAATTCTCTAAAGATTGCAAACAAGAGCGATGATGATGCAAAAAAGAGCAATGCGCTTAATAGAAGTGCAAGAACCCACCGTAACTGAAAAAAAAAATTTGTCTTGTTATATATATATATATATATATGTATGTATGTATGTATATATCTATCTATCATATCTATTTCTGTTTCTGATAAAATAATAAAATTTTTACCTTGTTTAAACCGCGTTCTAAATTTTGAATTTTCATAGGCGTAGCCCTTCCGGAATATTTTGTATCCTAAATACAATAATATGCTAAATAAGAGAAATAAAAAAAGATATAAATACATGCTTATAAAATTTATACCTCAATATGAGTCACTATTACATTAGTCAGTCTACTTCCAAAATAAACTAAGCCAATCATTATGACCCAACAAAAAAAACTCCAGCTTAAATAGTGTACTTTAGTCCAAATTTTTGCCATCTTTTCGTCATTCTTATCCATGTATGCACCGGATATAATGGCAAACGTGTTTAAAGAAACTAGTAAAAATGAAGTAAAATTAGCTATAAATATAAATAAATGAACAAACATAAAAATAAATAAATAAATAAATATATATATATTAGACCTATTGGTCCAATTAAGACGAAAAATCCAAAAGCATCTACAATTGCAGGTCGCGGTATCCAAATTTTTTTTGCTTCATGAGAATAATGGTGATAACGTGTTATATGAGATCTTGGTACCGTATATATAAGACCAATTAGATAAACAGCAAGTGACGCTAAAGAGATAGTGAATGTCACATCATGAAAAACTTTAAAGATCGATAATTGATAAATCTATTTAATTAGTAATGGATCAATGTGTAGGCTTGGTAATGGAAAAAGGGACGAAATTGACAAAAAAATTGTCGCAGCTGATGCTGAAATTTTGGAGTCTCTATTTAGAACTATAAAACCTACTAAAACCCATCTATACACTTTAATTAATAAACCCTGACCTTAAACTCTACTCAAACTATTATATGAAGACTAAAAAAATGCTCCCGAAAAAATTGTAAAAATTAAATAATATAATAATCAAAATTTCAGCATCGTCTGCGACAAAAATTCTTCACAAAAAATTAATTATCTCGCGAACTATCAACCAGAATTACATTCGTCTCTTAGACAAATCGAATGGCACCAAAATCATGTAATTTTGATTGATAGTCCGCGAGATAATTAATTTTTTTGTGAATTTTATATATATATATATATATATTTTGTCAATTTCGTCACTTTTTCCAACACCAAGCCCATGTTTAAACAAGAAAAGGAAAGTTTCTCACGTTCTAGTAATATATTACTGCTTAAATATTGACTTAAGAGACAAACAGAATATAAAAGTCGCGCTATTAAACCGGAATACCGAAATAAAGTCAAAACGCGCCGAAATTTAAACCTAAATTTAAAACTAAGTAAAACCACACAACGTAAAACTTACAGCAGACATGCAACATGTTCAAAAGTAGGAAGCATTCTAATGGTCTTGGACGAAAATAACCCATTTCTTTTAGAGGGTCCCTTGCAATTAATCTTTGGCCCCTCACTGTAGTTCTCCAAATTAATAAGCCGGTTATCATAATAAACACCACAAAGCATGCTATAGTGTTTAACAAATATAAAATACGTAAAAATGATTCTTCCTGTGGACAGCCTAATAAATACAGTCAAATTACAATGAGTATTTCGGATTGTAGCACAAAGTTTATATGACTTAATTGCTCCATTCTGAATTCAGGACATCTAAACACAAGTTTAAAAGTATAACGGACACCACAATTCATGTGTAACCAAGTGTCGAATAACTTTTTATATAAGAAATGAAGGTAGAAGGCAAAGCACCTGTCAATTGAACACGCCAATCACAAAAGCATTGGCTGTCACCAATAGGCATGCCTGGAATGCAAAATATTTAAGTAAAAAACCGCAAAATATTTAAGTAAAAACAGCCAAATAAACTTAGAGAGATTTGATTTAAATTTAAACCTGTAGGACATAGAACTTCAACAGGATTTGTTATATTGGGTGAATTGGTTTCATTGCTTTGACTCATTTTGTAACGCGAAAGTTGATATTATATTTGAATTAGGAACGGAATTGTTGGAATTGGTGGTCGCAATCTAAAGGAGCGAAATATTCAAATAAAACATCAAAAACAGGACACCCACAACACTTTTAGTGCAGCGAGCCCATCATTCGTTGAAATTTAGTACCCAAAAAAAGTGTGTAGGCATTGCTTAGGCTTTTATATAAAGCGCTTTACGTGCATAAATATTTAAAGAAAAAAAAAACAAATGTCAACGTGGTCGTAATACAAGAGTTAATTGGTTGAATATTGATAATCAGAAAGATAATGTAATGTGTACTAATACAATTATGAAATAACGTTTATTAACGTTAATAATGTAGTAATGCAGTAGTAGACTCGGAGATCATGTGATTACCGAAAAGGAAATATTTTTTATACTGTCGCAAGCAACTCTTATATATATTATTTAAAAAAACTGACAGCACAGCAGATCATTGTTGTGAAACATAAACATTTAAATACAGAAATACTGCACTTTTGAACAATCAAACAATCAAACAATCAATAAACAAGAAAAACAAGAGCAAGTTCCTGTAGTGCGCTAAAATAGATTCTTTTTTAGCACTCTCATATAAAATATTCGGGTGCGAACCACGGTTTTTTTTTCAAATTCTATAAATGAAAAAGTGAATGAATGCGATATGAATGCAATGTATATATGCGTTCTTAATATTCTCGAATAGTTTGTAGGTTTTTCGTATTAGACACGAGTTCTTTTTTATTCATTCAAGTTTGACAACTGCAATAATAATAATATTGTAATAGCATTCATCCACGAAGATTCGGATACGCGTTCGTGAACTTGTTCGTTAAATTCGTATATTCGTAATTTTGTAAAAAAAAAAAAAAAAAACGGTATCGATATTTGTTACATGCATTAAAATACAATTAAATAACTTTATAATACAGTAAATAAAGATCCGTTCCGTGTAACACATATGACGCAATTGCATAGGTAATACAGGAAGGTTCTTTGGTAATTGAAACTGGTAGTTTCACGCATGCTTATATGCGTATAGAATAAAGATCCGAAATGCAGAAATAAGATTTAATCAATCTTGAGCAAAATGAGCAAAATGTATGTAACTTATCCTGACGATTACATTCAGCATTAACTTTCTTTTTAGGCAAAAAAAACCATAACAACCAGTAATATTAACAAATACATCATTTCACTCTTTTTTAATGGTAGAATCAGGTGTCTAAGAAGCATTTAAAGTGGTAAAAACATCTAATACAACGTGATAACCTAAATAAACAAATTCAGGCTAAGTAAAGACATGGATTTCACTTTAGAGTTTATACACGGAAATTTATTCTAACTGTCACACGTTCTGTCATTAACCTACAAAGAATAAAAAAAAAAAAATCGCTTAAACAAGCTAAATCATTCTCATTTTCTTGTTGTGGTAATAATCACCAAATTTCCGATGCAGATAATAACTATATTTTTTTGACATGCAGACATTTTTATATATGAAATATGTACCGAAGATTTGATCAATGATCAAATATGCATATTTATTGACCCATCTTTGGTTTTGATAATTCAATAATTAACGTGATAGTCATAATAATAAATGGTATATTTAAGACTGACTGACTTTTATAATAATTAAAAAGATAAATTTCGAACATAACTCAAGAGAATAAAAAAAAAATCTTAACGTTAATCTAAATTTTTCGAACTTCGATAAATTTGGTTACACGAACACAACATACAATTGCAGTTTGGTCGTACCTCAATGTAAACTAAAGCGGAGGTTTTAATATCATTCATTCGTGTTTAATCGTAAATTCACTCCGTCGTTTCAATTCTAGGAATGGCAATGATTTTGCTATGGCTTTCTGTTCTAATACTATTTATATCTTCAATACTATTTATTTTATATTGCATAAAATATTTTATCTATCTATATATCCATATATATATATCCATATATATTTTGTATAACTATCACTTCATTAGAATTGGAAACCTAGAACAGATCCACTTATAAACTTAAGTTCAAAAGTAAAGTAACACATCGACTACGAAAATCCGAATTTCGTAGACGATAACACGAGATCTCTCACAATTTATTTATGAAAAATATGCATTAAAGATTTTATTCTCACAATTATTAATAATGATGCTGAATTAAACTAAACTTGGATGTAAAATGACTGATTGTACTCTCAATAATAATATGCTTCTGACATCCACGAGATTTTATCACAAAAGTAGTTTGATTAAATTGTTCAATTTACTAGAAAGGAGTGAGGGCGTAAGGCAGATTAATATTTTTATGCAAAACTTAGCAACATCAGGATGAATTTATAATTGTGTGCATATACTCGTGTAAAAAACTTTATCTCAACTTTATCACAAAGAGTGGGGCTTATTCTCGATTTTCTGATAATGTACAATTTTCATTGTGTTAATATATATATATATATATATATATATATAGTATATATTTTTATATTTATATATTTAAATTTTTATATTATTGGTTCTTGTTGAATGTCGTAAAAACCTACAAATTTAGTATTAAAAAGTACGGGGCATTCATTAACTTGCGATTTATCAAATCAGGTTGTCTCGCAAAAATAATTGATTGTATTTCTTTCTAACTAAATCCCGATCTTTTGAGTAATACAATAGTCACTTTTTATTGATTGTCTTCTTCGATTGTTTCAAATATCGCTTTTACAATATCAAAAAAAAAAAAAAAAAAAGCCATAAACAAATTATTTAGTTATGAGGCGCAACCCTGGTGTTACTATATATAACTTTTTGATGGATCATGTGCAATATACGAATTTAAAATTCAAACAAGCTACTTCCGACCGCGTCGATAATTCTATCTGCATCTATTGCAATTTTTGATTGGTCTATAAACATGCTGTCACACTATCAAACTATTATATAATCGAATGTCCCTACGTGCAACTTCGGGTCATTTCCCCGAGTTAAATTTGATTAAATGTTAGTTTAAACTTTAAAATCATCCATCTTCATTAAAGCAAAAAGACCATTTCTTAACGTTAAAGCATTATTTCAAATCATTTTTGTACAGGTAATTTAATCGCCGATCTTCACGTGCCCAGGATAATATTGATATAGAAAATATCTTAACAGATTATGGAGAGTGATATTACATGTAAAGCTCCTATACACGGTCCCTTTTTTTAAGTGTTGCATAAATAATCATCGTGATCTCCATATATAAGAACACTTTAAAAAAAAAAAGGACCGTGTATAGGAATTTTGGTATTTAATAGTTATCAGGTAGAATGTAGGTGATATTGGGTCAGCGTCATTTTTAGCGTCCATTTGTTGGCTCAGATTATGCCGCCGCTAAATGACGCTGACCCAATATCACATACATTCTACCTGATAACGATATTATCCGGGAGTGTTCATTGATTATTTTATTCATATTAACCCATAACGCTAAATCCGCTAAATCGTTTATTCCACGGTTCATCTATTTTTTTTATTTATAAACAATGTATTTCATTAGTTTATTAACCACGAGGCTTATTTTTTTTATTTATTTTTATTTTTTATTTTTATTTTATTTTATTTTATTTTTTTTGTTATAGCCAGCGACTTTCTGGCAACACAAACGAATAATATAAAAAAAAAAAAGATATATAATCAAAAAAAGAATTCCGGATCATTCCGAACTCAATATCTGGGCAATAAGAATATGATATACCGTAATATAGTATTAATATGGGTAATGATCAATAGTAACTACCGGATAATTCATTATATTCGAGATTGTTATCAATCTACTATATTGCTTCCTTCCACATGGTAGCGCGTGGTAGTACATAAGCACATACGTACGGTACGTACGTACGTAATTTGGTAGCATAGCGATAGGCGCATATGGGGTGTTGTCAATAGAAACAGCCCATTTTTACAATTTTTTGAAAAATGAGTTTTTAATAGATTCATATAAA